GATGCTTTACAAAAAGGCATATGGGATAATATGCAGGAAGGATTTGTGAAACGATATGACGCAATACGATACGACAGGACATGATGTGTTTCGATATGATATAATACGATGCAATAAAATGTCATACGAAATAATGTGATACAGTACGATAAGATGTGATACAATGCGATTTGATACATTAGATACTGTCAGTTAGGATGCGTTGTGATAGGATAGGGTATGCTATGGCACTGTACGGTACGGTACGGTACGGTACGGTATGGGTACTAAATATATGTGATATAAAACTTTGTATATGGTCCGATGCCATTTGACACATTTGATAAAGTAAGATACGATACAATGGGATATAAAACATCGGATAAGATACGATACACTTTATTGTGTCCTTGAAGAAATTTGACCTGGACTCTTTGTGTTTCATATATTTAGTTGTGTCCATAGTTCATATAAAACATCAAATAAAATAACAACCAACATTTAAACAGAGAAGCAAATACTAATAAAAACCACAAACCACATACAGCAGTAGAATATTAGAAGGGTTTTAATGTTTCCTCTATTGTAAGCTAAGACTTGTTCTGGACAAAGTGCAGTGCATAATCCACTATCCTTCATTACATGACTGACTGCAGGTCCAATCCTGATCACATTCAGAGATTACAGCTGGTTCTTAATCAATCCAATCCCTGCTGGAGAGAGAGAGAGGGTGTGTGTTTACAGAGAGATGAATGAAACAGGGATTGAAAAAGTGACTGAATAGTGTAGCATACCTTGTAACAGAAAGACTTAATCACTCAAGCTTTCTGTGAGCTGCTGTTAATAACTCCTCTGGTCGTGTTTTCCTTTTTACAAACCTAATTACTGAAATGTTGGGACGTTATGTAAAATGTGAATAAAAGCAGAATGTGATGGTTTACATAATGTTGCAGCACTATATGTAAATGAACATGGCACAAAGACATCATATCAGGTTTAAACTGAGAAATTGCATCGTTTATGGAAAATAATATGTCCATTTTAAATCAGATGAATATGGGATAGGGTCATGTTTACCTCTCTGTTACGTCACTTTGTCTTTTAACACTTTATCTCTTACTTTGTAAGATTACAGGACCTGAGGAGACCAGTATCTGTAATTTGCGTAAAGTGGAATGTTTTACCATTCATGCTCAGTGTAGGATTTCAAACAGTTCACCCTCTTTCTCTTATTTACGGCTTCATAATGCTCCAAACATTTTCAATGGGTGACAAGTCGGGACTGCAGCAAGGCCGGTTTATCACCCGGACTCTTTTACAACAGAGCCATGCTATTTTATGTATTATGTCCAGAATGCAGACTGGTATTGTCTTATCACTGATAACAAGCTCAATGGTCCCTCTCCTTTTTAGAAAGTAAAATTTTGACCTGTCTGACTTCAGGACAGTTTTCCACTTCACCTCAGGCCATCTTAAATGAGCCCAGACTGAGAGAAGGTGGCAGTGTTTTGATGCATGTGGTTTTTACATCTACAGTTTCCTCTTTGCCTGGTAGAGTTTCAGCAAGCAGTTATGAATACAGCAATTCACAAACAATTGGTTTTAGCTTTGTTCCTCAGCTTGTGCACTGATCTTCTCTACATAATCTCTGTGATGCTCTTTTTATACCCAACCATGTCACTAACCTGTTGCCAGTTAACTTCAATAATAGTGAGACAACTTTTCCAGTCTTTTGATGCCAATGTCCCAACCTCATCCACTTAGTATGTCTTTTATACAATTTAATGCACATGTGATGCTCCTTTGTGTTACTATATTATTTTGTACTGTAATGCAGGAGCAACATGGGGCGGCTGTGGCTCAGTTGGTAGAGTCGGTCGTCTCACAACCTGCCACCGGTTCGATCCCCAGCTCCTGCAGCAACATGTCCGATGTGTCCCTGGGCAAGACACTTAACCCCAAGTGGCGTTTGAGTGTGTATGAATGGGATTGGTTAATAATGATGGTCACTTTACTCTACATAGCAGCCATCAGTGTGAAAAGGTGCGGCCTGGGGTGTCAAAGTGCTTTGAGTCAGAAAACTGGAAAAGCACTTTACAAACTCAAGTCCTTTTACCAACATGGCTCCAGACTTTGCTTTGGAGATTAAATAAAGTGTCTTATCTTCTCTTTAAACTCCTTTCAGATTACAATCTGCACATACACTTGTAATCCAAAAAATGAACCTGAAAGGTTCTGTTATATTCTGAGGTCATGGTTGTAAAAGCACATACTCATGAGAAACCTTCCAAACATGTATGTGAAGTTCTCTGCATCCCCGTCCACATATCAGACGTATCTTACATTCCCCTAATGGTGGACAATATGTAACTATGTAAATTACTGAAATCTGATCGGTATACACTGTGTTCAGACTCCACTCCTCTCTCCATCATGACCCCTTGGCGTTCCTCGAGAGCACCGCGGGCCGTGCTGGTCTCCTGCCCCAGCTGTCATGATATCCACCCTGGGTGCACACACAGCAAAGGGTTGTGGTCTTCAGGAAAGAAATGGTCTGGAGAGGTAAAAATAGCCAAGGCGGGAGAGACAGCGAGGGTTAATGGCCGCAGTTGTTATCCCACAGAAAGAGAGAGCGAGAGAGAGAGAGAGAGGAGCCGTGTAGGAAGAGGAAGCTTCGGCCTCACACTAAGACAAGGGGCTGGGGAAGAGATAAAAGGAAACAGAGAGGTGGTAAAAGTAGAATAAGAGAGATTTTGAAAGTAGACATGGATGGAATTAATGGAGACCGATTGATGCAGTCGAACATCTGCAAAGTGCGTCCTGGAGATGCTTTTAACTAAAGACGCAAAGTGAGAAACTACAGGAACTGGACGGTGGTGGATAATACTCAAACACTGAGTGGAGAGAGTTTTGAGGAATAGTAGAGGAAACCGATTTGGATCATTATGGGTAACGCAGCGTCATGTCAGGCCTGTGGATCTGATAAAGCTTTAAAGACCAGTGGGAGTGACGACAATTTCCACCATAACACTGACTACTACGGAGCTGCTGACTCGGGAACAGAAGACGATGTTGTATTGGTAAGAGGAGGAGAGGGAGAAAAGAACCAGTTCATCAGGCACAAAGTGTTATTAGGAAGGGGTCAAGAAGCATGAGCATGTTGCTTCATCTATTTCCTTCTGGTGTGTGTATGTCTGCTGTCATCCCATATGTGACCTTTGCTCCATCACAGGGGTGTGGTTTCAGTCCAGACATGGGATGTAGAGTTTGATTATTCTGACCTCTCAAGTTAACACCCAGCGGTGACTGATTGACACGTTACTGTCTGAACCCCAAATAATACGAGATTTCAACTTGTCAACATCCATCTGTAGTCAATAGAAATCCTGAGCGGTAGTGTGGCAGTCATGTAGTAAAGAAGCAGTTGGGAGAAGCAGTAAATCGAAGTTGGTTAATCGATTTGTTGATCAACGTTTTCCCTGCTGCTGGTTACCAGGTGTGAAGAAATCTTAATGTGCTGGTGAAGTGAATTCATTGAATATTGTTTGGATTAAAAAAAAAACGTGTTGATAACATAACCTTTAAAAAAATCACCTGATAAAAAATAAATTGTTAATAATAATTGTTTTAAACCATTTAAAATGTCAGCAGTCGGCCTTTGACGCAGATTTCGGTTTATTGGAATTTTAGAGATCATTCAAAAACATGCAAATTCAGATTGTAACCGCTCAACGTTTCCTACTTTTTAAAAAAAGTATTTCAGAACTTTATTTATCTCACTTTAACTTTGAGATCTTTTTGTTGGTTTTGTGTTCATATTGAAGGATTGAATTTGTGTTGAAGTAAAAAATGTGTTCCTTGATTTGACCAAACGTTAATCTGTTAAAAACCAATGAATCAATTTTGTCAAAATCAAACTCTATTTATTTTAACAGGTTCCAACACTCAAACAAGGAGCTTCATGTGTGTGTGTGTGTGTGTGTGTGTGTGTGTGTGTGTGTGTGTGTGTGTGTGTGTGCTGCAGCAGCTGCTCTTGCTGCTGGTGGTTAAATTTAGAGCAGACTCAGAGAAAATGTATTGATACCAGCAGGAAGCTTGACTTCCAAAAGAAAAACCTTTGTTGACTCTTATTTCTTCATACTCCCACCATGCACAACAAGACCGAGCTACTTCCTTATTTCTTATGACTTTCTTTTATTTTAATGCAAACACAAACTTAAAGCTCCTGTGAGGAACTTTTGATTTGTGTCAGTTTTGGCGCCTCCTGCAGACAAAGTGTTACCTTTTAGCTTTTCTTTTTTGAAGTTGTGTTTTTGCCTTTTATTTGATTGGACAGCTGAATGGAGATGGGACATGTTGTGAGGTTGATATGCCACAAAGAGCCGAGGTAGTATTCAGACCCACAGACACGGAGGACTTTAGCCACAGCACATGGGGTGTACAACTTGACCACTAGGCTGTCCAACCCCGAGGGGGAGGTCGGACATCCTAGTGGTCTAGGGGGCCTAGACCTAGTGGCCAAGTCGTACGCCCCACCTGTACTTAAGGTGATCTCATCCTGCTCTCATTACTCAGTCATATATACCAATCACCATGAACCTTTCACTATATCAAACTAAACTATCTTGTCGCTCATATATATTTTTGTGTTTTTTTAGCTCATAAACAGGCATAAATATTAATTATGTTTCATCAGCTAAAACCTACGCACAGGAGCTTTAAACAAAACTGAGATGATTTTTTTTTTTTAATTGTTTAATTAGCGATTGTTCTGCAAAGACTTTAAAAACTCTAAATGGTCCGATGTATTTCTTATCATTTGGGTAAAAGGGATTTTTCTCACATAAACCATATATTTTGTAAATGAGCGATCGTGTAAAGCATACAGTCAGAACTTAAACCGTCCTGAACTTACCTTAATTTTTATTCATCTTAAAGAAACTTAAAAGAACTACTGTAGACGACCCATATCTTGAGCTGGAGTTCCTAACATGACCCACCTTCCTATTTTGTGTCTACAGTCGGACAGTAACACCAGCTTCCTGCGGGCTGCCAGAGCGGGAAACATTGACAAAGTCCTGGACTTCCTGAAGAACGGAGTGGACATCAGCACCTGTAACCAGGTAAGAGAACGACCTCAAGTGAAGCTACACCTACAGCCTGTGATGCTGATGCTGAGGTTTTCAGAAATCTGCAGCATAATGGTTCATTTTGCACACACACACACACACACACACACACACACACACACACACACAGAACATACATGACATGCTTCTGTCCCATCAGTAGCTCAAAGCTGTAAACTGGCCTGTTCGTCTAACCCGCTGAGTCGAACCTTCACTCTGCTGTGTCACCGTGGAAACGAGCCGTGTCAGCACATACCTGAACATGCCGAGTCGCCCTAACAACTATGATCACCCCCCTTCATCCCCAAACCCCTCCATCCCTCCAATCTCAGCTCCATTTGACAACACGAGGTCCCTCTGGCAGCTGTCACCCACCCTCACCCACATTCCACTAAGGAGGGATTGGTGCAAGGAGGGGAGGAGGGGGAGGGGGCCTAGAGCTCTGCACCCCCCCTGCTCTGCCCCGGTCAGTATGATTTACAGTTAGTCACAAGGCGGCTTAAAGGAGCATGTGGGGAATGGCTACGTGAGGGTGGGTGTGTTGTGTTGGGACGTGCACATCGTCAGCTCCTTTTATATTTTTTGTGCTGTCTCATCGCTGTAAGCCTTTGTAATGTTTCCAGCAGTTTGATATCGTCTATTATTAAACAGCAGGATGCAATTGGACAGCACGCAGGAGGCGGCATCTGCCCCACCCACTGCTTTGCTGTTTGTTGTCATGGTCACCACGGCTTTTGTTGACTGTACCAAAAAGACACACACGCACACACACACACACACACACACACACACACACCCACTCCTTCCCTGCAACAGTAGATCCCTGCCCTTCATAGTATCTGTCAGGGGGGGTCAGATGATCACTTTTAAGCCCTCATCAGGTGACTAGAAAATGCGAGTGACATTTCATAGATACCCCGGTGATGCTCGCTGTGTGTGTTTGTTTGTTTGTGTGTTTGTGTAACTCACAGATCAGCCAATAAACTCTTAAGAGTAGATGTCATTATTAAAGAGAGTCACATGAAATAAATACCACTCGGCTATTTCTTTGCTCTCATGCAGTTTAATTGTTGCAGATTTTGTCAACATGTAGGCAAAGAGTCGAGCACTCACATTCACACTCTCCAACACATTAAAATAATTATTGCAGGTACATTCAAAGTTCCAAGACACATATTGCTGACCATATGTTGTTCCTGTGCGCTTGTTTCTGTGTGTGAGTGTGTGTGTGTGTGTGTGTGTGTGTGTGTGTGTGTGTGTGTGTGTGTGTGTGTCTTCATGCTGCAGTCCTACCATGCAAGTTTAACAACAACCATATTCACATTCCTACAAGTTCAGTACCGGGTCGCACCGGTTATGATAAAGTATCACAGAGAATGCACTATTAACATCTACTATGTTGCACCATCTGAGATAGTTCCACGGTGGGCACACATTTTCACTTTAATTGTAATTTAAAGGTTAAAGGGGTCTTTTACAAGAGGAGGTGCCACAGGTAAAGTGGTTAAAATTCTTCTTCCAAGTCGACCCTATTAGTAAAACCCACCACACAGATGTATGACCTCACTGAGAGTGCTGATTGACATCTGAAAGGATACGACACCATTAGATCAATAATTCATATTGTAAAAAGTTGGCAATTTGGACAACGACCACAGTGATAAGAGTCAAACGTATTATGTTAGCTTTGATTAGCATCAAAATGGATTTTCAAGCAAGTGAATGGATCAGAATCACGTCAGAGGAAAAGCACTCCACACAATAACAGAGCCATTATCTACAGCTGTCAGCACTACAGGAAGAGCCACACACCCCACCACCAACAGCCCTAACAGATGTAAATTGTATTGACTCAAAATGTCTGATTTCATCCATTTAAGTTACTTTACACTAAGTTACATCATTTATGTGATTTCATCCAACCAAAGATAAAATATAATCAGCAACTAGTGGTCACACACGGTGAGAAGAAAATACCCTTTGCCTGGTTCAAGACTATGCAATAACATATTAGGACGATGCTATAGGTTACAAATATGCATGATGGATGACTTCATTCACTGCAATTTTGTCAGTTTCATGTATTTTCATGCTTAATCGTTTTTTTCACAGCTGCACGACATTATCCTGCTGTCTTCTTCTTCTTTGGAAAATGAACTTCCATTAACGTTACCCTCATACATTTCATATCCGCCACCATCAACAGTACATCTGGTAAACTGCAGGAGACGCTGGGATGGAATTTAGTGTTGTCCATAGTGGTGTGTTCATTAATAACTTTAGAGTCAGATCCTAGAAAGCAGGAAAAGTTTGGCCAGAGTCTGCAGCCAACGGCAGGCTATCCAAGTACGTTACAGAGAAGGAGAGACAGAGATACACTCCCTGTCTGCCAAATCTACAGTCAAAATGTTACCACACTTTTATGAATGAGCTAAAGGAATCATCCTTTGAAAAATATCTTAAGTAAGCTCCCAATTTATCGGTTCTTATAGTGAAAATTATGTTTTTTTATTTTCAGGCTTAGGTTCATTTTTGTGATAGCAGATGGAAGATAGACGATTCCTTTAAAGGTCACACATTACACTTCTTTACAACAAGTTTAAATGAGTCGCATGAGCTCCCCAAAACATGTTTGTGAAATTTCTTGCTAAGAATTCCATCCGATCCTGTATTTGATCATGCCTATAAACCCCTCTATTTCAGCCCTGCTAAGAACAGGCTGTTTCTGTGTCTGTAGCTTTAAATGTAAATGAGTTGTGTTTGACCACGCCCCCTCTCTGGAAGGGGATGTGGCTTGGCTTTCTTGCACCATATTGTTTACAGTGGAAAGACAGACTCAGAGCCCAGAACAAACACGTGGCTGTGGGAGTGTCACCCACCTGGGGGAGAGGTTACTGCCCTTTGTGATGTCATGAAGGGAAAATCTCCAAACGGCCTGTTTGAGCACACATTTTCTGAAAAGTGGAGCTGGCAGAAGACAGAGAGGATGGACTTTTCTCAAATTGGGGGGTGTAGACAGACTAGAGACACATATTAGTGTTGGAATAACATGGTATAGTGTATTTTGCATAAGATGTGACTAAATAAAATAAATAAATAACAAAATATTTTATAAACACACGTGACATACATCACTTATTCGATGGAAAGTGAGGACGTATAATGAAAGTGTCTACAAATATTAATTTGGTGACAAACTGTAAGAAATCAAAAGGCATACGCTCGACCCAGTTTGTGAGGGATTGCGCAATCTGGGATGAGGCACAACTCGTCGCTGCCTCACCTCGCATGTCTGCGAATTGAAGTATGCGAATTCAATGATTTTGATCATGAAAATGATGGAAGAAATAACATTTTTAACACAGACCAGTAGAAAAATATATATATTTATTTTATTTAACCATTATTTGTTTTTTACTTTTGAAGATGAGCCTCACCTGACCGCACGTCTCTGCTCTGTATGAGTGTGTCATTGATGTGTTGATATGATATGTTTCCTTGTCCTCACAATTAAGGACAGACCCCTCTAATCTATCCAAATGTTAATCCTTTGTGAGTGATATTGCTCTTTAATCTGCCCCCATTAACATTATTTCCCCTTTTCCTCTAACGTTCATCCTCTCTGGCACTTTGACTCGTAAAACAACATCAAATAAAGTTCACCTTTTACTACCACATGTGATTATAACACGGGTCATATGGGCGGGAATGTTCATGGGAGTTGGACAGAGCTCGGCAGCGTCTCTCCTGCCAGGAGGCTCTACAAACTGGCAGGGATCACTTAGCTGAGCTGAACGTCCATTAGCTAAATGAAGCTTACACTTACAGCTCAGTGGAAAAGGAGCTTTAGATCTGTGTGTGTGTGTGTGTGTGTGTGTGTGTGTGTGTGTGTGTGTGTCTGACACAGTGTGTGTTTGTGTGTGAGTCCCCTGTGGCTTCTGTTCATCTCTCCTGGAATACATAATAGTTGAAATTTGATTGAAGCGCTGTAATAAGATTGCATAATTCTTGCTGTGTCATTGAAGCTACCATTTCAGGACTGCTGGCCTCAAGTAGACACTCAACCTCATGTTTCAAAGTAACTAGAAGTGTCTCGCTTGTTGTGACTGTGTCCAAAAATCTCTGACTGAGGAAGGAGATTTATTCAATGATTGATGACATACTGAAGCAATGCCAGAAGTCAATAACAGAAGAATGGGTAGCCCAACCAGAAAAATCTAATTTTTTACCATTGCAGAGTTTTATATCCATCTACAGGAGGGCTGTGCTGTAAATGCATTTGCGCCAAACACAACGCAAAAGTCTGAAATTATCCGGATAAAAAGGATCTTTTGGGAAACAAATGCGGAATCGTATTTTTTCATTCTATGTTCCTGCAAACGAGCGTCACCTGAGGACATGGTTTGGCTGTGCACGAGGTGACCTGTTGGTCGTTTAAAATCAGAACTAGCAACACATTCTCACTTAGCATGTGTTCATTTAACCTGTTGGATGGAGGTCTGGGTATAATGACCCTGCTTTCACACTACTTTGGAGCAGTCAGATGCTAGCTAGCATGTACCCTCAGATGAATTGGTGACCGTTTGGATGTTTATTCTGGGCTCAGGAGAGACACGTTGTGTTAAACATCAACTAAAGAATTAAAGGCTGAAAGAACCGTCTAGCTTCAATTTAGATCACAACTCTGGAGTTGAAATGACCGATATCCCACCAGTCTCTGACATGTTGTTTTAACAAAATACAATCATTCATTTCTTGGAAAAACAAAAACATGACAAAAAAGAATATAATCTTAAATGTGATGATGATGACGATGAAGAATTTAATGACTATGGTGATGTGATATGAATCCTGTAACAACCCTGTTGTTTTGTGTAATCTGTAAAGTACAGTAGCTGCACCTTAGAATGATTTTAATCAGCAGTTCTGTTTCTGAAGTGTCTTATTTTTAATGGTATGAATGATGTGAAGTGGAAACACTTAGCTTTCCACAGTGGAAAACTTTTTTTTTTCTTCAGATGGCTTCTCGATGACTAGGATTCACTCAACAAGCTTGATGGTGAATCTTTTAAAAGACTTTTTAGTGGAACAAAAGCTTTCTTCTCTGTGCACACAAAAAGAAAATCCAAGAAGAAATCTATCCTGTACAATTACATTAATTATCTTGAAGTATCAGGAAGTGTAATATTTCCTAGAAATATATTCTTGGACATGATGACGGCTCCTGTTTTAACCTTTCAGAGCGGTATCACGTACCTTCCTTCACCGCCACTCGGTTGGCTCGACGCTAACTTAAATACTTTGGCCTCTGAGGAATGCCCTCTTTTTCTTTTTTCTTTTTGAAAGGTTGACATTTTCAGCAGCCTCTAAATATGAGTATCCATGTTTGTGTGTGTGTGTGTGTGTGTGTGTGTGTGTGTGTGTGTGTGTGTGTGTGTGTGTGTGTGTGTTGACTGTACCAAAAAGACACACACGTCTAGTTCTTTTGTGTGTGTGTGTGTGTGTGTGTGTCCTACATACCCTCTATGACTGTGCAGAAACATGACACCCCTTTGGCTATTTGGCATTTGGCAACTCAGTGTGTGTGTGTGTGTGTGTGTGTGTGTGTGTGTCAGTGTGTGTTTGGTGTACTAATTTTGTCCTTTGTGTGTGTGTGGATGCGTGTTATCCGTGCACGAGAGAGGGGGGGGGGGGGGGGGGGTAATGATAGAGGTGTTAGCAACAAAACAGCCTCCTTTCTTACATCAGTTCCAGGAGAGACTTCAGAGCCAGGAGTTCTTCTGTGTTGTTAACCCATCTGACAGAGTCTGCAGAGGGAAGAAGGCAGACGGAAGCTTGGATCTAAACCAGGGTGGGGAGCATGGAGGGATGCTGAAGACCACTGTTGATGGTTTCAGCTCCATCACTTCTAAACCCAGCTTGGAGGAAGATTTGTGAAGGCAGAACAGAAAGAGTTTGTCATTTGTTTTTTTTGGGGGGGAAAGAGCAGCGAACAAGAAGATTAACAAAGTAGTCAGTGTTTAAATATTCTTCTCTGAGTGTCGAAGGGAGACAGAATGGAGGAAGACGAGGACGAGGTGAATCCTTCTTCTGTTCTGGGTTTGAATACGTTTCTGTCCCAGGTGACATATACGTGTGCATGTGTGTGTGTGCAGTGTTAATACATCAGTTGTTAAGTGATTGCCTGTCAGTGTTGACACATTTACACTCTAATACTATCGTCCTCCTGTGCTGCTCTTCAACCTGTAGCTCTGGTTGATGGATCAGAGGCCCTTTATGTAATGCTCACCTGAAAACCTGCAGAGGGGGAAAACTGCTGCTGTCAGCACCTGTGTGTCTGATCGGACTTAAAGCTGTTTGTTTGCACTTACTGACGTTGTTTCCTCTTTTCTAGATCCTTGTTTGTATTAAACTTACTCTCTCACGTCGCTTTGGATGAAATAAATTGTAGAAATTGTAGTTTTTTTGCTTGAAACAGTTAATCTCCTTCAGAATAATTCAGTGGACTCCTTCTCTCAGAAAGGATCCAAAGAAAGTTCTCGATCACACAAATCTTTTAAGGCAAACGCTATTCCTTTGCCCCTAAATCATTTTTGCCTTAAAAGAGTTTTTTTACTCCAGAACTTTCTTTGGATCCTGTCTGAGAGAAGCAGTCCACTGAACTATTTATCTGAGAGCAGCATCTTCCGTTTGTGGAGTTTCTGAAGCGCAACAGTTTCCTCCTACAGCTCATCTTATTTTTAATGTTGGATGTTGATCGACCAAAACAAATCGTGAAACAAGCATCTGTAATTTCTCATTTTCCTTTTCATGATCATTTTTTTAAAAGAGTATATCAACATGGTAAATGGATTTGAAACATTTTTCTGATCGTGATTAAATGTCTCACAGTTTATTTGCACTGGTCAACAATTTCTTCCTCATATCTTTGTCCAACCACTGAACTGAATATTCTTAAGATGAACACAAAACAATGAATACAATAAATCAGGTCAACACTTTATTTTTGCATCAACACTCCTGTAAGTGGGCTGGTTTGCATTTACTGAGGAAACAGTTCATTACACTGCACTGGATTTTGCACTTTTTGTTGTTGATGAACCACTCCCTCTATGATGTATTGCAGCTACTCATGTTCACTAACTATTCAGCCATTAATCATCCTGCTTTTCTCATCTCAACATCTCGTGTTTTCTTTCTGTTTCCTCCCCAGAATGGTCTGAACGCTCTTCACCTGGCTGCTAAAGAGGGACACAAGGATTTAGTGGAGGAGCTGCTGGAGAGAGGGGCACCTGTTGACTCTTCCACAAAGGTACATGATGCACATACTGTATTTATACTGTATATATCATGTTTTAGTTCTGAGTATGCAACTTTCTAGATGTGCATTATGTCACATATCTTTAGCCTAGCATGGGGAAAGATATGGGGCAAAATAGCTAATGTCAACAGCTGTGTGAGAGAAGGAGAGAGACAGAGACGGTAAGGAAGGAGTGCACATGAATACATGTAATATATCATGGTATGAGTTGTTAATGGCGATGTAAATCACTGCTTCCCTCTTGAGCTATGAAACCTGATTCACAGTTTTGGCGGAGGGGGGGGGGTGCTGGTGGACATTTGAGGAGGTGGAAAAAGCATGAATGAACTTTATAACTTTATACTGGAGTGCTACCCTGCAAGTCCAACAATAATCCTTCCTGTACGTTGGGAGGTTTCATTATTTAAGTTAAAAGATTGCGACACAATTTGAAAGTGGTCGCTGCAAGCCTTCCATTTTCTAAGAGAGGTCCCGGTTGACTCTTGATTGCATCATGACGGGATGTTCTGGCTTTACTTGAAAGGAGAGAGAGTGAGTGTGAAGTGAGCTGCTCGGCATGCTGACCGTTATATGACTCTGTGAATGCCTTAAGTTTCATGTTTAACAGCTCCAAACAATAAACAGCCTGCAAGGACTATGTCACACTGCTGCCCATGCCCTTGGACTGAGTTGAGTTTATGTCTTTAAGTTACTGGTTCTCAAACTATTTCTGCCGGGGTCCCCTTTTGGCAGACAAAAATATTGAAATTCCTAAATTTTAACAATATATTTCATTGGCTGCAAAAAGAACAGAATAGCAGTTCAGTGTGTGACAACTGAAAAACTAACAATCAGCCTTTAAAGAGGAAAAAACTCAAAGTGATACTGTAACACCGCACATCCAAATTTGTGACATCTGAAACTTAATTATCAGACTTACACCAGGTAGTCCTCTCGAAAAATGTGGCATGCTTTGCTAGCTGTGAATTGTTTTGATTAAGCCTTGCATGGCCGCCTTTGTTGTCCATCATAATGCTTGCCAAACATATCTGCTTGGGGCAGCTGTGGCTCAGTTGGTAGAGTCGGTTCTCTCTAAACCGAAGGTCGATCCCCAGCTCCTGGGCAAGACACTTAACCCTGAATTGCTCCCGCTGCTTCGTCAGCTGTGTATAAATGGTAATAGTTACTTCTGATGGTCTAACTACATATCATCCTCTGCCATCAGTGTGTGAATGTGTAGGTGTGACCTGCGTTGTAAAAGGGCTTTGAGTGGTCAGAAGACTAGAAAAGTGATTTACAGGCTCAAGTCCATTTTCCATTTACCAAACACTTCACTTTCCTCAGCTGGAACATGTAACTAACTGACTTGTTGATGAAGGTTGGTGCTTCATTGCTGTGATTGGTTAGCTTCAGGCGTTGACAAGCATGTCAAGAGCACCAATTTTATAGGCCTATCCTATTATTATGTATTGGAGGCGGTGGAACACCTGTGTGTTTGACTCAATTGAAGTGGGAAGAGGCTTCCAGGGTGTAGTTATTGTCGTTGGCGAGCAACTGAAACAGCTCCAAGCGACATGATGAAGACCCCTGGCCCAGCTTTTTATACCTGCCAATATTTCAACAAACCTCTGGATTCTAACCCACACTCTTTCTGATAGCCTTGTCCAATATTCGTTTCTGCAGAAAGGAAACACTGCCCTCCATATTGCCGCGTTGGCCGGACAAAAAGAAGTGGTCAGACTGCTGGTGAAGAGAGGAGCAGATGTCAACTCACAGTCACAGGTGAGAAACTTCTCAATAATCAATAGCTTCAATCAATAGTCTGTAAGAGGGCTCTTATGTTGCAGGAGTGTTTGAACTTTATGCATTTTCCTCTGCAGAATGGCTTCACTCCAATGTACATGGCAGCGCAGGAGAGTCACCTGGAGGTGGTGAGATTCCTGTTGGAAAATGAAGGGAACCAAAGCATCGCAACAGAGGTAAGCTTTGTGTCAAAAAATACCTTCAAACGGTACAAGTAACAGCTGATTACTTGATAAACTTCCACCTCAGATTTGAGTCACTTACTCTAAATTATTTCGTCTGTGTCTGCTCCTCAAAGGACGGCTTCACCCCTCTGGCCATCGCTCTCCAGCAGGGCCACAACTCCGTGGTCTCCCTTTTGCTGGAGCACGACACCAAGGGGAAGGTCCGCCTCCCGGCCCTGCACATCGCGGCCCGCAAGGACGACACAAAGTCTGCCGCACTGTTGCTCCAGAACGACCACAATGCCGACGTCCAGTCTAAGGTGAGGGAGGTGCGAGGGCTGGAGGCGACATATGGTGGAGGGAGTAGGAAGGACGGGAGGTGGAGTGGGAATTTTTTGATCATACATCTGAATATTTCAAGTTGACAGTGTTATTCACTCTGTCGATTATTTGCTAAAATAAACGGACGCCGACTCTCTTAGAATGCTTTGTTCTATGCGTCCTTGTGTTTCTGTTCTCTACATCTTTGACCTTATGAACTCACCCTGTGTTGTGTGTACATGTTGTGATAAGACCTTTCCCTAACAACCCTACCTCCTACCTCCCCCCCACCCCCTCCTTTTCTCTCTCAATGCATCCTAACCAGATGATGGTCAATAGAACCACAGAGGTATACCGACTCATTACCTCGACGTTAAATGCCTTTTTGTCACTCCTCCTGACCATCTCTTTCAGCTCACCTTGTCCTGATCTTTTCCTTTTTAAAAGGACTTAGGACGTCTTGCATGTCAGACTTATCGAGCACAGATACAAACGCATGCAGCTGACTATGCTGTTTACACTCTCCTGCATGGCTGACAGTAAAAGACATTGTGTTGAGATCCAGAGATTGTTAGTTTATTGCACTTACTTACAGATGATCTGTTCTACATTCCTGTATTTCTTTTAGAAATAATGTGTCAGTCAGATAATGTCTACAAATATCTGACTGTAACGTTGATATAATTATTCACTCTTTTGCTCTGCGTAACTCCAGCATGCGTTTCATTTTCAGCATGTCGATAGCATTGTTGTTTTTTCCTCTCTGACACACGTTGTTGATCTTTAAGTTAACTCTGTTTCTTAATTAAATTGCACCATGTCTATCAGAATGGGAAGGTAAGAAGAGCACCCACCTTCATCTGTGTGCTGTAGATTGATATACTTTATAAGTGTCCATTTGTCCGTCCTAGCAGATACACATAGTGCCTAGTTTCTTTTAGTTTTTCAGTTATGATTTTTCTTTTATCCTTAGTGTTTCTTTGCATTGTTTTGCATGTATTGTATGTGATATTTTGGGGAATGCTCTTTGTTTATGCGTCTTCTCACACTTTTTGTTTTTTTCGGCATGCACGATGGATGTTGTAGTTGCTTCAGTAGATTCAGTTTTTGTTCCTCAATCTGCTACAGAAAAATCTGATACTTCCTTTTTACCTCCTTTCTCTATGATTTTCTTTGATTGTTTTTTCTCAGTTCCTTCTTTAATCATTTCCTCTTCTTTTGTTTTTCATAATTTTTGAGTATTTATTTCCTCCTTTTTACTTTCTAGTTTTTCTTTCTTACTTTCTGTCTTCTTTTTCTCTTTTAAGTTCCCTTATTTCCTTCTTTCTTTCTTTTTTCCTCCTTTCTATTTCGTGCTCTTCTCTCTTACTTCCTGTTTTCAATTAGTTTCTTTTTTATTATATATCTTTTCACCTCTTTCTTCATTCCTTCCTCCTTTGTTCTTTCCTCCTTTCTTTCTTTCTTTTTTCTTCCTTTCTTTCGTTCTTTCTCATCTTTCTTTCTTTCTTCTTCCTTTATTTCCTTCCTTCCTTCCTTCTTTATTCTTCTTCCTTTCTTTCTTTTGTTTCTCTTATGATTTTGCAACTGTTCTCCTTCCCTCCACCTGCTGTTTCAACTAATCTACTTTTTCGTCCTTCTTGTGTCCTTCCTTGTCATGTCTCTGTGACTCTCTCCTTCCCTCCTCTCCCCTCGTCCGTCTGAAACAGAGTGGGTTCACCCCTCTGCACATCGCCGCTCACTACGGTAACGTGAATGTCTCCACGCTGTTGCTGAACAGAGGAGCTGCTGTGGACTTCACAGCCCGGGTAGCGCCCCCATTTCCACTTCTCAGCGAGTCAAGCTGCCTTCTGTGCATCTGTCTATAGAAGAGTTGAACTTTAAGGCTTGCATAAGAAGTGTGCTCTGTCTTTACCACATTCTGTCCTGAGCTAACTGCACCCCCCCCCCCCCTGCCTGTTAATGACCCCATTATTTTAAACTGCATTACTTAGTGTAACTGTAAAGTTAGTCTTACTTTCTTTGAATACAGTTTAGAAGTTAGTGGTGATACTTTCATTTATATTCTTAATCAGAAACAGAAACATTACAATCATACAAACTAATAGCAAAATAGACTTCAAATATGATGTAGAGTTGGAATTTTTTTTTTTTAAGTCAGGTCTCAATGATAACCAGGACTTCCTGTGCTTAGGGGATGGTGTTTTATTGCCTTAAAGTTAACTTTTCTTTGTTTCCTTGCCTTCATTGTCAGAATGGGATAACACCTCTCCATGTGGCCTCCAAGAGAGGCAACACCAACATGGTGGCCCTGCTGTTGGACCGAGGGGGTCAGATAGACGCTAAAACCAGGGTGAGACAGCACTTTTTTCATTACATAGGCACAGATCTGAAGCTGCCCCCTGCTGACTGCTTTATTGACTTTTCAAACTACTTGTAAATAATTGCATTTGTCAAAACACACAATGTCTGTGTGTGTGTGTGTGTGTGTGTGTGTGTGTGTGTGTGGTTGTCCTGCAGGATGGACTCACTCCCCTGCATTGCGCAGCCAGGAGTGGCCATGACCCAGCAGTGGAGATTCTGCTGGAGAGAGGAGCTCCCATCTTAGCCAGAACCAAGGTAACGCAAAGCTTCACCATAACTGGATCAGCATACCCCTGGATTTTTCCTAACATCTGTCATATTGTTCCCAGGATATAATTCTTCTAACACTTACATTTCCCATCGCACTATAACGTACTTCTTCCATTCTCCTCTCACCTCTTCCGTTTCTCTTCATTATACTTTTTTTCTTTTGCAACAACTCATGGATTGTTTTTGTGTCCCCACACAGAACGGACTGTCCCCGCTGCACATGTCGGCCCAGGGTGACCACTTGGAGTGTGTGAAGCTGCTGCTGCAGCACAAGGCGCCTGTCGATGATGTCACGCTGGACTACCTCACGGCGCTGCACGTCGCAGCTCACTGTGGCCACTACAGAGTCACCAAGCTTCTGCTGGACAAGAAGGCCAATCCCAATATCAGAGCACTGGTAGGGATTCAAGGGAAACAGCAGCTGTGCAAAACAACATGAAATAGAAATTAACCCAGACTCACATATATCAACACTTTCTTTTTACACTTTTTTTGGGGGGGGTTGGGGGGGATGGCTTTTTATGCCTTTATTGGAGAGTGCATAAAGTCAGAAATCAGAGAGAGATAGAGATAGATAGAGAGTGGGGAATGACATCTGGGAAAGGAGCCGCAGGTCGGGTCTTAACCCAGGCCGCTGCTTGGAGGACTACAGCCTCCATATACGGGGCGCGTGCAATAACCACTAGGCTACCGGCGCCCCCAATATATCGACGAAGTAGGAAGAGACAATAATGGATTTTGGTCTTGTAACTAATTGTAAGTTCATGCATTACCTTTTCATACCTTCTCAAATTAGCCTTTTCATACTTGCCCTCCTGAAAATTCTGAAAAAAATAACTTGCAGTTATATAATTTTCAGGTATATGACCCGCTGCGTTCACACATCAGCTCACCATGATGTAATGCAGAAATTTTAGAGGCTGGCAGGAAAAATTCCAGTGGGAGAAAAACAGCCGTTCACACATGATGCTAGGTTATTTTCAGGAGTTTTGTATTTGAGTCTTCCTTGAATAACATTTTCTATTTACTAAGATGTAATACCATTAGTTAGCAGTGAAAAAAATCCATACATTATATAATAGATCATTATTAACCTATATTTAATCCAGAACTCCATTGTTATAAATGCTGCTTTAGAGCCACAGCATGATATTAAGGGCAGCTCATCAAGTGATAAAGCATGTCCTCCTCCAGATGAACACACAGTATATGTAGTGTTTAACTTTTCTCTTCGCCCCTCTTTACCAGAATGGTTTCACGCCTCTGCATATCGCCTGTAAGAAGAACAGAGTGAAGGTGATGGAACTCTTGGTCAAATATGGAGCCTCCATTCAGGCCATCACTGAGGTCAGACATCTGACGGGAAATCTTCAACAAAATCAAATCATCTTTATATACAGCACACTTTTCTGTGGCGGTTTAAATCTAATGCTCAATTCCCCACCTTCTTTCTTTAGTCTGGTCTGACGCCCATCCACGTATCTGCCTTCATGGGCCACCTCAACATTGTTTTACTCCTGCTGCAGAACGGAGCTTCTCCCGACGTCCGTAACATCGTGAGTATGACTGACATATAATATGAGAAAATTCATTAAACGGTCTTTTTTTCAATCCTTCAATTTGTATCATTACGCTCATTAATGTTCTCTGTTGGGCATATCAGCGTGGTGAGTCAGCTCTCCACATGGCAGCACGAGCGGGTCAGATGGAAGTGGTGCGTTGTTTGCTGAGAAACGGAGCGTTGGTGGATGCTGTGGCCAGGGTGAGTTAGCTGCTGAATCATCAGTGTTGATAGCTGTTTTCTTCTGTTTATGATAAATAGACACCCTAATGCTTTACACATACTCATGAGTCTACTACTGTTTTTTTTCAATCTGTAAATATATTCCTGTCTCTCTTTGCTTTTCCTCTTCATTCTCTTCACTGATCTCTCAATTTCCTTGTCTTAATCTCAATCTCTCAACCCGCAGGAGGACCAGACTCCCCTACACATCTCCTCCCGCTTGGGGAAAACTGATATAGTCCAGCTGCTGCTGCAGCACATGGCTCATCCAGATGCTGCCACCACCAACGGCTACACTCCTCTCCACATCTCAGCCAGGGAGGGCCAGGTAGAGACAGCTGCTGTGCTGCTGGAGGCCGGAGCTTCACACTCCCTGGCCACGAAGGTGAGAGGAGGACAGTGCACTGAGATACTTCAGCAAACAAACAGATATACATACAGGTATCTACATAAAAAGGAACCTTTTGGACAAGCAGCTTGAGAATAAAATGTTCCCCCCTTTTTTTTCCTCTTACAGAAAGGATTCACTCCGTTACATGTAGCAGCAAAGTACGGAAACCTCGATGTAGCAAAACTTCTTCTTCAACGCAAAGCTCTCACTGACGACGCTGGGAAGGTAAACTCAACATCAGCCATAGTCAATTTTTTTAAGATTTATTTTGGGGCTTTTTGCCTTGATAGGACAGTGGATGGAGTAAGAAACAGGAGAAACAGAGTTGAGAATGACATGCAGGAAAGGAGCCACAGGCGGACTTGAACCTGGGCCGTCCACTTTGAGAGCCATAGCCTCCTAAATGGGGCGCGACCTAACCGCTAGTCCATCCGCGCTCCAGTCATTTTTATTATTTGACTTGAAATAATAAGTGACAGTAAAATTCTCTGAGGACTGAACCCGTTAATGTCTGACTAGAATCGTTTTGAGTTTCTCATAAAGACCAATCAGAGAAGAGAATAGACATGTTGAAATCAGGAAGACAAAACAAAAACAAACATACTGCTTAATTTTTCCAGAAATACTACAGTGTTTTTATTTTCTCCCGGTGCTGAGGAGGAGCCTATGGGGTGCTATGAATAGTCCATTTTCATGAATTCATAATTACTTTTTAAGTTCTCTCGTTACTAAAAAACAAAAGCAGACATATGTAAGGGGCTTAAACAAGGCTAGACAGATTTTATGATGGTGCTTTAGCGCCCCCTAGCCCCCAGGTGTAGCGCCATGCTTGCCTGGCCAACAGGGAAGGTGCAGCAACGTCATAATGAATATTACATGATTAAAAAACAGCTAAAAAACAATAGGTTAAGAGCACATAGTAATTAAATGTGTAAATTGGTTTTGCAAATAAAGTACAGAGTCATGATCACAGATTACAATTCAAAAACACATCAGGCACTGTCCTAGGGTCTCACGTTTTTTTGTCACTTAAGATCGAGCCGAAGGCTTCAAATGAAATGAAACCTGCCATTTTCAAGTCATTTTGGAGAAAGTTCCATGCAGAGGGGGCAGCAAAACAATTGAATTAAATATCTCTTCTCACAGAACGGTCTGACTCCGCTACATGTGGCAGCTCATTACGACAACCAAGAAGTTGCCCTGCTGCTGCTGGATAAAGGGGCGTCGCCTCATGCTACTGCGAAGGTTTGTCGAAAAGTTATAAATACTAAAGACACTTTCACACTGTGCTCTATATGTTCTGCCTTCGGCTACAACAATGATTGTATGATCATGCAACACTGTTTACTTTATGACTGGAACCTTTTCTTTAACCGCTAAGCGCTGTGAAGTGATGATTAGAAGAAATCCTCTACCTGCGTCAAAGGGGGAAACAAACCGTCAATCCTAAAAACATACTTTAATTAGAAAAAAATCTGTTTACCTTCCTCCCTCTCCAGAATGGCTACACTCCTCTCCACATTGCAGCCAAAAAGAACCAGAAGAACATTGCGTTAGCACTGCTGCAGTACGGAGCAGAGACCAACATTCTGACCAAGCAGGGGGTCAGCCCGCTCCACCTGGCAGCCCAGGAAGGACACGCTGAGATGGCCAGCCTGCTGCTGGGCAAAGGAGCTCACGTCAATGCAGCCACCAAGGTCACACAAAAATCCCAACACATTCTAGTACTGCTGTCCCACACTTTTGTTTCTTTGGACAAGACACTGATTATTTTTTTTAACTAAGGGCACAGGAACCCTTTTATGTGTCTGACATCTATCTCTAGACTCGTCTCGAGGGATGCTAGCGTTCAATTTCCCGTTAATCAATTAACTCAGACTAGTGGACTGATCTAAAAAGGTGATACAACATTAAAAAGAACAGTGAAAATGGAACACAATTTTTTTTTAACACGGCTGCTTAGCTTATTTAAATACTGTTTGAAACAGTTCATCACATTCTCAATAACAATTCTGCAAATGATGGCTAAAATGTCAAATTAGTTAGCAGATTGTGGCTAACATTAGCAATGCTAGCACCACCAGCCTTCAGCCTCCTTGCAGGTTAACGTCCACATGTCTGAATTACTCGAATGTGGTTGCCAACTCAGCTGCTCCTACGAGATGCAGTCCGTCCACTGTGCTTGTTTTGCATATGGGCAGTAGGGCAGGAAGAGCTGGTCCATTAACACCTACCTAGCTGGAGCTACGGCCCCAGCTTATGGTGGGTTGCTGCATTACAGCTAACACACACATTTTAACTGGCATAGTGGGCCTACATTAATACAAAAACTAAATAGGTGCTGACTAGCGAGCGTGACTTTGTTGAATGGTTTTGTCAGCTAAATGTGCTCAGTACAAATAAACACAGTATATTGTTTACCCAAAGTCATGACACACACAGACTCACACCACAGAAGCCCCGAAGACAACTTTGTGCCCTTTATGTTACAGAGTGGACTCACACCTCTACATCTCTCTGCCCAAGAGGACAGGGTCAGTGCAGCAGAAGTACTGACCAAACATGATGCCACCTTGGATCAGCAAACTAAGGTAAAAAAAAATAATAATTACTAGCACACACAGAGTTTAAGGCATAGAAAAACAAAATAAGGTAATCTATAATTACATTTCATGGAAGTGGAGACCCAGTTCAGGACAAAGAATGTACTTAAAAGTCTGTAAAATTAGGGGATTACAAGCAGTTGATAATTAATGTTTCCTTCAGGTGTGTTTTGAAGTTTATTTTGTGTGAAATATGTAAAAATGGAAATCCTTTATGAGCATCATAGGAAAAATAAAAAGTGAAATTCATAAAAAATAAGAACTTCCCGCCACCTACTGGCTGCTGTGAAGCATGACAGTGTCCACATCATGTATCCATATCATAAGGTTCAGTATTTATGTCACTTTGTTGCTGTATGAAGCTTAATAACAAACAAAGATGAACTGTTTTTTCTCTCCTTATCTCTCATCTTCTCTCCTCTTCAGCTTGGATACACCCCTCTGATTGTCGCCTGTCACTATGGAAACGCTAAGATGGTGAACTTCCTCTTACAGCAAGGTGCCAGTGTCAACGCCAAAACCAAGGTAAACCCCCCCCCCCCCCATTTAAAGGGTTCATTGACGTGACATTTCGAGCTTCCTCCGACTTGAAAGTACAAGTTATATAAGTTACACTTTCAAGTCTGAGGCAGAGCATGTTGGATCTAGTGCCCACTTAGGGACTTAAAATGTACTGCTGGAATAAGCCCAAGAAATAAGACCGTGAAGAGCTCTTTTGTTCTCGTTTCTACTGTAATGAATTCTCATCTGCTCCTTTCTCTCCACAGAATGGATACACACCCCTTCACCAGGCAGCACAACAAGGGAACACACACATTATCAACGTGTTGCTACAACATGGTGCAAAGCCAAATGTTACCACAGTGGTAAGAAAACAGAAAAAAGCTTCCAAGTGTTAACTCTCCTCTTCAATATTGAGGAGTGTTAATGACAAATCTGTCTCTCTTGTTAGAACGGAAACACGGCTCTGTCTATCGCCCGACGTCTGGGTTACATCTCTGTGGTGGACACTCTGAAAGTGGTGACGGAGGAGGTCATCACTACCACAACGGTACGATTGGGAAATTCATACACCACATTTGGAACGGGTATCTTTTGTCACAAATATCCCAGAAGCTGCTATTAACTTTCCTCTCATCTGGTTGTCTTTTTCCATGACTGTGAATGGGGCACAATATCAGACGGTCACAGAGAAACACAAACTGAATGTCCCTGAGACCATGACGGAGATCCTTGATGTGTCCGATGAAGAAGGTGAGTGACGAAAAAAAAAGTGAGAGAAAGTAAAAACACAAATAACTTCCTGGTCTAAAGGTCCAAATCTAGCTCAAAGGTTTTGAGGCTACACATATTGTTTGCAGTAGTTTCTGTTTGGCGTCTAGGCTCCGCCCTCATCACTCCTCACAGTTTACATTTACATGCAGACATTTGAGGAGTGATGGGATGAGATCTTAAACCACCCCCTAGGTGAGGCCCACAGGTGGATGCTGGGGTGATGGTGGGGCTGAGCAGGAGTGCAGAACTGGTGCAGATCAGAGCTGGAAATGAAGGAGCAGAGGGAGAGACTGGAAATCCTGCAGCTTAAATGGACCGCTTATTGGAAGGAGGTGTTGTCAGGTGATAGCTGAGAGTGAGGCATTCCAGTGTAGAATCAGTATAGATCAGGATGATGTCAACTTTATTTGTCCCAGAAGGGCGATTGGTTTTGGCAACATCTTTTATTTGCTTTTCTTGGTCATAAAAGAGCTGTTGTTTGTACTGAGGGTGATGTAGTCGTGTAGTTTAAGTCTTGAAGATGTGTGTTTTAATAGCTTTGAGGCTGGAAGACGAGCTGCTATCTGAGATGTCTGTGGAGTTGGAAGGTACTGCTAAGAGTGACTGCCCTGCCTTGTCAGCTTGCATGGGCTATAAATGTAATCTTGTTAGTTATCAGTATGACTTTTTGACACAGAGTCATGCAATCAATATTTGACAAAACAATTGATTTTCAACATTTTGTCTCAAGGCGTTTTTTCCTCTCAAAATCTCCCAAATTTCTCTCTCTAGAGAGTCAATGAAGTTTAGCTTTTTTCATTTGAGAACTGATTTCAGACACCGATAAGCAAACCCTCTGTGATCTTACACCCTGTTGAGTAAAGTGTTGAAGCAGACCTTCTGTCCATTGTTTCTTCATGCAACAGTGGAAATGAAGGGCGTGGACTGTGTGGCATTATAAGCAGTGTGACAGTTATGATGATTGAGAAATGCACTCATTAAGTCATGCTGACTAATACATTTTGCGCTCTGGCATCAAGTATTAAGATCCAGTGACCCATTTCAGAAAAGCAATCAGAGAGCACTGCTCAGACTCAGACTGCAAACGCTGCTGTTGACTTGTAAAAACTTAAACTAATAAGATTCAGAACTTCTTGTTCAATTTGAGAAGACGCCTTTTTTTTTCTGTGTAAAATCTCCCAACTGGCCCATCTTTGTTTCTCAGGCGAGGACACCATGACAGGGGATGGAGGAGAGTATCTGAGGGCCGAGGATCTCAGAGAGCTGGGAGACGACTCTCTGCCAGGACACTACCTGGACGGCTTCAGCTACATGAGCCACAACCTAGACAGGTAACGACAAACACATGAAAAACTCACTGAACAAAGAACCTCATCTTTAAACTAACTCCTAAATGACACCAGAAGTGTTATGGTGTTAAAACACATCATCATCCATTGCTGCTGCTGACCAACCTGCCACAGTGCAAACGCAAACAGAAAAAAGATCCAACATCCTGAAAACCTTTTTGTTTGTTTTTGACCAACAGGCCACAACTCACTCCCATTCATTCAAGTTTCCATCAGAGAGAAGGAGTTCTCATAGAAGACATGATAACCAGCCACCAGGTGAGGGCACAGCATACAGAAAGGCCAAATCCCCCACCCCCCACTCAGCCTGAGCCTTTATTATAGAGCGTGATTTTGACTTTATTTTGCACATGTGAAGATGCATTTGTCATTTAAAAATAGAGGTTTACACAAAATAACATGATCATTGTTACGAAAGCGTTTTTTTAGATTATTCTGGGTAGTTTACATTTACAAATGCTCGGCTACATGAGCCAGCTGAAGGTCCAGATGACCTCCAACCCTCAGCTACATGGCAACAAGTGTTAGGGCAAGTGCTCGAGATTGTTTTGAACTCATGGCTTGTGATTCTTTGGTTTTGCCGTCTTTCTGTTGGGGAATTTGAGTCCAGCTGGTCTGCTGATGTTTGTGATTTGTAGGTTTCAGCACTGGCCAAAGAGCATGACAAGGAATCGTTCCGTCTGAGCTGGGGTGCTGAGCACCTTGACAACGTGGTGCTGTCCTCCAGTCTGCTACACTCTGGGTACACACACACACACACACACACACACACACACACACACACACACAGTTGTTCCAGGTGTAAGATGTCCACATGCCTTGTTCACTGAGGTGTGTATGAGTCACTTGTATCAATTTGAATTCTTTTTCACTTCACTTCACATCCGTGTTTCTCGACGTCCTCTATCTTTGCTGTTGTGCTTCTGTCCGTCTCTGGTCAAGTTTTTTTTTCACACTTTCACTTATTCTTTATTCTCTTTTTCTCTTTTTGTTTATTGTGGTGTTGCCTCTGTGTGCACTCTCTTGTCCTGGTTGTGTTTGTGATTTGTGTGTGTGTGTGTGTGTGTGTGTTGTTGTATTCTGCTTCTAGCCGTTCCTCTCCGTGCCTAGACCATGACAACAGCAGGTGAAACTCTTTATTCTTTATTTTGCTAATCTGATGGTTTATCCTCTTCTATTTTTTACTCATTCACTATTAAATTACCTTCTCATTGTCATCCTATCTGTCTGCATGAAATAATAATGCATGGCTTTTACATTTTCAGGCTTTAGGTTTTAACTAAAAAAGGAATAATTGATCATTTTCTCAGAACAATAAGTCTAACTTTAATTTGATACATTCCTTGTAGAGACTTTCAAAAAATGTTTACCACCTTTACCATTTTTAACAAATAAAGAAACAAGCAATGGAGACCAAAATTGTTTTCTTGTACCACGCTGTAAACACGTTTATTTCAGCAGGAAAACTGCATTTTAATATGGGATCTAATGAGGATTCCTTGGCTTTTGCAGTCAGCCTCAAGTGGAGATTTGTGGAACTGTATTTTGCTGCACTTCCGCGTAACTTTATTTTTCAACACCTGAGATTGCCGCCTGGTTAAAACTCCATATACAGAAAACTTTAGTATTACTATGCACATTTACTTGCCAGAGGACGTCTTATATTTGATGCTAATTTGCTCCCTTATGCAAAATGTCTTTCATAAAGAATGTTGTTTAATGCTCCGTCCCTTGCCTGCCTGGTCTGCAAGTTTAACATTGAGTTGATGAAATTATAAATGATTGAAAACAATGGAAGAGAAGAGGCTGGAGATGAGATATGCTTGTAATGTTGGTACTGAATGGTAAAATAAATGTAGTTCCTTTGTATTTTATTGTTGGTTGCTTTGTTTGCATGGAGGCTCAGAGTCAACCGTCTTGAAATAAAAAAAAGTCAATTTGCATATTTTAACAACAAATTCGTTTTTTTGCTGGACCCTTTTCTTCAGCTTCCTGGTCAGCTTCATGGTAGATGCGAGGGGCGGGGCCATGCGCGGCTGCCGTCACAATGGCCTGCGAATCATTGTACCGCCGAGAAAGTGTTCTGCACCCACGCGGGTGACCTGCAGGCTGGTGAAGAGACACCGTCTGGCCTCCATGCCTCCTATGGTGGAGGGTGAGGGGCTGGCTGGTCGCATCATAGAAGTGGGACCAACCGGTGCCCAGTTCCTGGGGTAAGTGTGTCTGAGCGTGTGTATGTGTCTGCGTTATATATGTGTGTGTATTTGCTTGTGTGAGTGTGTTAACAGCGTTGCGCGGTGTGTTCATATTCTCTTCTTCACTCCCCCTCTTTGCTGCGTACGGATCAGTAAGCTCCACCTTCCCACAGCTCCTCCCCCTCTAAATGAGGGAGAGAGCCTGGTCAGTCGCATCCTGCAGCTGGGTCCTCCAGGAACCAAGTTCCTCGGGTAGGACTCGGATGGGGAACCATCCTAGAAGTGGTCAAATACTCACCCAAAATCTTCCCACTGTGTCCGCCTGAAGTTTTTTTTTTAGCCTCCATGATATGATGCATAAGTTATTTTTGTTTTTGTTGACTTTGTCCTTTGTTTTATTGTTCCATGAAAATGCAAGCTTGAAACCCTGAAACCCCTTGATTTGTTGCCCTTATGTTGTTGCGTTGTGTCCATGACCTCCTCAGTTAATAGTTCCTAGACTAGTTTCTAGTTGTTTTGTGCTCCTATGTTTTAGATTATATGTTCTTTTCATATTCAAACATTTATTTTTTTACTTGGCATGAAAGGCCCCTGTTATCAACCCAAGAGTCATATTATCTTTCAGCTTTGTCAGCCTTGTTCCAAAAGTGCATTGTCATCAAATTTGACTTTGTTTCTCTTTCAGGCCTGTCATTGTGGAGATCCCCCATTTCGCAGCTTTGCGGGGTACAGAAAGAGAACTAGTGATCTTGAGGAGCGAAACAGGGGAGAGCTGGAGGGAGCACCACTGTGACTTCACAGAGGAGGAACTGAACCAGATACTTAACGGCATGGATGAAAGTAAAGGACTAGATTTTGATGGTTGATGATCTGAATGTCATATCACAGGATTTTTGATACATAAAATACTGTACAGCAAATAAACTTTAAGCCACAGTATGATCATTCTAATACAGTCCTCTATACAGAAGTGAAAGGAGGGCAGAGATGTACTTAGATAACAATGTTGGCAAAATGATGGGAGTCGAGTTCAGTATCATCTCATCCCCATTTCTAACTTTTCCCAAACAGTATTTGTTCTTTATCTTTATAGAACTTGATTCCCCGGAGGAGCTTGAAAAGAAAAGAATATGTCGCATCATCACCCGAGACTTCCCGCAGTATTTTGCAGTCGTGTCGCGGATAAAGCAGGACAGTCATTTGATTGGCCCAGAGGGCGGGGTCCTCAGTAGCACTCTGGTGCCCCAGGTCCAGGCTGTCTTCCCTGAAGGTGCCCTCACCAAGAAGATCAGAGTTGGGCTACAGGTACATACAGTGTGTTATATGAACAAGTGTAAATCAAAAGCATTTTTCACACATGCACTCCTGAAAATGTTATTTTAAAACCTCCACCACAGCAGGAGACTTTCCCTGTTAGATGGGAGGTGTTTGTGTGGGTTGGGGGGCAAGGAGGACGCAAGACTTGACATTAAAAGGACACTGTGGAAATAGCGGATAAAGCAATAGATTCCAACTATGATGACAGTTTTTGCCTATTCCGATTATTTCCTGCTGCGTTCACACATTAGCACATCTGGACTTAAATGGTAAATTTTACTTGGGGGCTTGCAGAAAAAAAATCCAAGTAAAGTTTGGGCATTTTTGCACACATGCAGCTTGCCCAGAAAATGTCATGAAATTTTAAGGAGTGTAGTGCATCTGTGAAAACGCCAAAGTCAATGCTCAAAAATAAGCCATGAGCCAACTTTGCTAAGATGTCCCGTTTTTTTTACCTCTTTACAGGCTCAGCCCATTGATATCGAGTCGGTGAGGAAGATTCTTGGTAACAAAGCCACATTCAGCTCGATCGTCACATTGGAGCCACGAAGAAGGAAGTTCCACAAGCCAATCACCATGACGATCCCTATTCCTAAGAGCTCCAATAGTGATGGGCAAAGCACTGAGTTCATTGGCGATACCCCCACATTACGGTTGCTTTGCAGTATTACCGGTATGAATACATTTTTGCTGTATTGTAAGATTGTCAAGTTCAATACGTAAAATTTCACCGCTTAAAAAAAAAGTGTTTTCAAATAATGGAAGTTGCATATATAGGCTGCATTCATAATTTTATTTTCTTCAAATTCAACACAATTATTGGGGACTTAACCAACTGTTGGTGTGTGTTGTAGGAGGAACAACTCCTGCCCAATGGGAGGACATCACAGGTTCCACACCTCTCACCTTTGTTAACCAATGTGTGTCCTTCACCACAAACGTGTCGGCGAGGTAAATTCTTTCAAAAATGAAATGGAGAGTACAGTCTTCTTTACAGTGATGCTTTGCTATGCTTTGGTGATTTTACAGTTTACCATGTTTTCTGTGTAACTATGTTGAGGTGTAACTAACTGAAGTCTGATTTTTACTCCTAGGTTTTGGTTGATAGACTGCAGACAGACCCAAGAGTCTGTTAGTTTTGCCTCTCAGCTGTACCGGGAGATCATCTGCGTTCCTTACATGGCCAAGTTTGTCATTTTCGCTAAGACACTTGATCCCATTGAGGCTCGCCTGCGCTGTTTCTGTATGACAGACGACAAGATGGACAAAACCCTGGAGCAACAAGAGAACTTCACTGAAGTGGCCCGTAGCCGAGATGTTGAGGTACAGTGGGAAGATGGACAATAAATTAGAAGAGGGGAGAGTGTTTAGTGGTGGCTGCTGCATTGTTCTCCAGGGTGGGTACAATTTTGTACAGACGGACCAGGATGTATAACTTAGTCTGTTAGCTTGATGCTGACACATACTGGAAAATGTCCTTAACTGGCTAACAGGATAAGCATCGCGACCATTTTAATTTAGGAATAGATCTATAGTTCTAAAAACATACTCTACAAACAAAACCATATGCACATATACTTAGAGTCATATGTTTCCCAAACTCTGCTGACTCATGCTCGCAGTGAATGCTCTGATCCAGTGACACTGCATGACTCGTTCTTTATGTCTCAGTTTATTGGACGTATCCCTCAGCTGCCTACTTGGTGGTGTTCATGAGCCTGTGGTGTTTTTCTTGCACCCATTGATGCTCCTTTCTCTTGAATTGAGGAGGAGCATTTGCAACTCATAACGACAGTCAATGGAGGCTCTGAGCTAGCACCCAAGACTGGAAACGTGTCACCAATCAGTAACTTTAGGCACATTTTAAGTTGACATTTTCATTGCAGATCATACATTTTTGCCACTGGTTCATGTGGGGGGGGGGACCAATTAGTCTGTAGGTATAGAGAAGAAGTTTAGAGAAGATAATGCAGAACATGTCATGAAAAATAAACCTAAATTGAGACAGAGATTGGTGTACCAAGTGGAGCAGATATATAAATAGATACTTATAGAGAGAGCTTAATGCTGACACAGCCTGTAAGCTTGTCTTATTTCCTGACAAATTCTGAAAAAAGCTCCAGGATTTGAGGTCATTCTGGTTGCCTAATAAAAACAACAACCCTCTCTATACACAGGTGCTGGAGGGAAAACCTATATTTGCTGACTGCTTTGGAAACCTGGTGCCTCTAACAAAGAGTGGACAGCACCATGTGTTCAGCTTCTTTGCCTTCAAAGAGAACCGACTGGCCCTCTTCATCAAAGTAGGACTACACATTGGATACTGCTGTCTATAAGTTCTACTTTACACCCAGTCAGAAACACACATATATGTTTTTAATGGATTGAATTGTGTTTAATCAATGGACAGATTAGAGACACGGCACAGGATCCATGTGGTCGCTTGTCCTTCACCAAGGAACCACGCACATACCGTAGTCTTACCCACAATGCAATCTGCAACCTTAACATCACTCTCCCAACATACTCAAAGGTAAGTTTGACAAGTTTATATCAATGTTCAGGGAGTACATTAATTCAACTTGCAATAAATACAATCTTTTTCTTTAGGAGTCTGATTCAGACCAAGATGCAGACGATGAGGTAAATAAAGTTGATCAAAAACCATGTCAAATAATGAATACTACTGAACTTAGGTTTGAATTTAAAGCTAACTATGCTATTTGATTTGTTTTCCTTGCAGAGCGAGAAGAGTGACAAGAAATGTAAGCTGAATCTGTTGTTTTGAACATTGTTAAAACGGAGATCACCAGTATATATGATATTAATGTCATAATGACATTTAGTTAATATATTCATACATGATTTGAATTCTTAAAGGTCACATATTATCCTCCTTTCCAACAAGTTTAAATCAGTCTCAGAGCTCTCTAAACATGTCTGTGAAGTTTCTTGTTCTAAATCCACTCTGATCCTGTATTTGATCATGCCTATAAACCCCTCTATTTCAGCCCTGCTCAGAACAGGCTGTTTCTGTGTCTGTACCTTTAAATGCAAATGAGCTGTGTCTGACCATGCCGCCTCTCTGGAAGGGCTTGGGTGGCTCAGGCTTTCTCACTCCCTATTTTTTACTGTGAGATGGCAGACTCAGGGCATAACAAACATCTAGCTGTGGGAGTGTCACCCACCAGGGGGAGGGGTTACTGCCCTTTGTGATGTCATGAAGGGAAAAATCTCCAAATGGCCTGTTTGAGCACACATTTTTTGAAAAAGTGTAGCAGGCAAAAGACGGAGAGGATGGACTTTTCTTATCATTGGGTGGTTTGTAGACAGACTAGAGACATCTAGTGATAAGTGTTTGGAAATCATGGTGAAGTGAATTTTGCATAATATGTGACCTTTAATTTCTTTGTAGTTATACTTAGAATACAACACAGCCTACATTGAATTCACATCATTTAAGTTACAAAATCATTTAAGTATTGGTAGATAGTTTAAAATACGAACATCTGTATTTGCTTCGAGATGCATTGCTGAGTATGTTTCTGTCCATTTAGATGAACCCTGCTCTGTTACTTTGCTCTACTAACACTGTGTATAGTTCAATGTTTGTTACCTGCAGCTATGCTATGGCTGATATACTCTTCATCTCCCTCACACTAACTCACACTTACTTTCTTCCACCTTAACCTCTCCATTTTCAGTTTTGTTGCTTTGACTTTATTCATTTTTATTAATAACAAATGAAGGTCAGAATGAAACATTCTGTTGATTCTCAAGATATTTTGAAGAATTTTAATTTATCTTGAGACAAATTATATTTTGTGGTCATTATTCAAAAGAGGTATTCATTTTGACCAAATCCTTTCTCAGATCCTAGAATAATTTTGCCATGGGCATGCTGAAGACTTTATTCGTTCAGTTCTAATAGACAAGCAGCATCATGTTTTGTTTGTTTGTTTGTTTGTTTGAGTGATTTGAGTAGTTGCTGGTTGATTTTATATCTTGTTTATTTTGTATGAATTTGGCAAATGCTTTTGTTTATTTCAAGTACACCTTTCTTTTTTCATTTACCAGCTCTGCATTTCTTCATTCATTAAGTTGCATTAAAAGTCAAAAACCTTACTTATGCCCTTACTTTTTTAAATTTGTACACTAAGGGTGCTATAAGGCTAAAACAGAGTGAATGAAAAAGGAAAATCACACCTTTAGAAAGGGTCATTTTCATCATATTAAAAAGAATCCTTAAAAGTAAAATATTATATTATTAAGTAGTAAAGGGAAGAATGGTTTGCAATTCCTCAAAAAAAAAGAAAAGATATTGACTCTATAAACAGAATTCCTCTCAATTACTAATAACCCAGGGGAGCTCGTGGTAGTGCCTGCTTCTGCAGAGATCCTGACTTTTAACCAAAACCACGTTCAGGTGATTTCAAAGTCACAGACAAATCCCCACAGTCTTTAGTCTTGTCTTGAGCAAAAGGTGTTCAATGATAGGACCATTACGAACAACCAATAGGCTCGGTCTCACCAGCACCAAATAGGAAGCTGCAAACTAAAAAGGGAGGCAAAGTAATGTTTCTCCTGGACTGTGGTAAAGGAGGACAAACTGGTGGAGCTGTGGGGAGAGCAAGAATCCTGCTTTGACGTGTCCTTCATTTTGTACCACAACAGATTGTAGAAAGGTAAAGGTGGACAGAAATAGCCTTCGAAATCCCCTGTTGAGTATGCTATAGCTCATTACAGACGAGTAGCTATAGCATATTCACTGGTAAAGATCCTTCTGCAACCTTGTTACGACTTATTCTTCCTCCAGTTTGATCGTCTTTTCATAGTACAAAGGTGATGACAGGTCAAAGAGGCATTCTTGCTCTCTCCACAGCTCCACCAGTATAACCTGTTTTTTTGTTTTTTTGCTCAGAAGTTGTAGTTGCAAATTTCCACCAGTTGCATGATGAGATAAAAACTTGTCTTGTCTTGCAATTAGTGACCTTGCAAGAACCCAAGTCTTTGCTAAATCCTAGTCTATGACTAAAAACTCTGAGTTGCTGACACATTGTCTTTAGATATGAGAGAAAGTCAGATGTTACTCTTTAAAAGTCTGATTAAAAACAACATCCAAAGTCCTCTAATGTACAAGATTAATCACTTTAATAGAACTCTTTTCTACTGATCACCCTACTTATTTTCTTTAAAAGTTATTTATGTTTCTATATTTTTAACTTTTGATTTGTGGGCAGGCATGACTTTTCCTGTCAGCAACAATCTTGAGAAATTTCCTTCATCTGTTATCCTTCCTGCCCGTCTCTTTGTTTCTAGGATTCTTTGTTACTCCTTGCGGTATTTGTATGTTTTGCGTCAAATTTTTTAATACGTTGTCAAGCAAGTTATAGACTTACATTATTCTGGACCATATTCTACCTGTTTTGTTACTCCTTCTGGCTTTGCTTCCGCTGTTGCTTTTGAACTCCCCGCCAAACTCTTCTGGATCACTTTTTCATCTTCTTTTCAAGACTTCTTTATCCTCTGCCCTACCATTCTCTTTCTTATTCTGTAAACTGAAGATGGATTCTTGATGGCATTGTCTTGATCACAGTTTTCTGATGTCTCTCTTCCCCACTTCATTTGTCCCTTATGATCTTTACCCTTTTTGGCTATGAAACCTTTCGTTTGAAGATGACGAATCTGAATCGACTGAGACATTCTCCCTGAGAACTAACCAACCTCTTGATCCTGCAACCCTCGCAAGCCCTGACCTTCTCTCAGACATGTCCGATGTTAAGATGACAATATTGACTTCAGAGCAAATGGAGCATTTAATGCACGAAGGGAGAGCTGGATCTAGAGGGCTGGATGAAAAGGATACTTTTGCCATTATCGATCAGTTCACTAGAGAGGAAATGTTTGGAGAAATTCATAGAGATGATATAATCGATAGTGGAAGGAAAGTAAGAGGTGATGCTAAAAGGGATAAATCAGGTTCACGCTCTGAAACTAAGACTGTCGAAATGAAGTATCCTCCTGTTGAGGAACCAGTCTTTAAGGCGGTTTGTGTTGAGGGGAGGACTACAAACAGATCTGCAACTGACAACAGAGACATGACAGGCATGGTCTCACATCTCAGCATGGACATGGACCAATACTTGGAACAGAGACCTGTAGCGATGTGTGATTCTGAAGAGGATCTTGTGCAAGATAGATTTGAACAGGTTATTGTAAAGCGGGATGGCAAACGGCGTCCTCCAGATATCAAGAAACCAATACGAAAGAAACTTAGAGACAGAGAGCGTTCTGGATGTAGCAGCTCTGAAGGCGAGCTAGAAAGAATGAGCTCCGACGAGTCTTTAGATGGCGACGTTGTCCTCAACGACAGTGCCCTTGTACCCTCAGCAAATGTTTATCCTCCAGCATCTCCCCTAATCGTCGAGACACCTATAGGATCTATAAAAGACAGAGTTAAAGCTTTACAGAACAAAGTTGAAGAAGAGAAGGTAAAAAGCAACAACCAGGAACAAACTTCTCAGGCAAAATTGACTATCACCACAAAGAAGACTGAGGAAGAAATGCCAGCACTTCCCAGAGTTCCCAAGTCCCCTAAATCCCCAAGGTCTCAGACAGAAAGATTGGAGGAGACTATGTCTGTGAAGGAGCTGTTGAAAGCATTCCAGACTGGAGAGGACCCTTCAAAAAATAAAGCTGGGCTTTTTGAGCACAAAGCAGTTGTGTCTTCTTGTGCTTCAACTTTGATTTCTGAATCAGAAGACTCTGGTGAGATACAGAGGGCAGCACAAAATGCTGCACAGGATGCAAAACCACAAACCCAAACGCAGAGCCTCAAAACTCAACAGAGTAATATCAACATCCGTGACGAAACAGACTTGAAGGATCAGCAGGTAAGCTCAATTAGAGGCAACTCTGAGGAAGCATTAATCATTTCAGATAGTGGTGATGTTGAAAAGACAGTCAAATTTGCTGATACAATTCAATACTTCGATGGAGGTGCACAGAAAAAAGAATCAAAGTTGTCAGAAGAAGAGACAATGTCTGTGAAGGAGCTAATGAAAGCATTCCAGACCGGACAAGACCCGTCGAAAGACAAAGCTGGACTTTTTGAACACAAAGCTGGAGCCACTTGTACTTCATCAATGATATCTGAAACAGAAGGCCCCGAAGACACAAGAATGACTGAACAGAGTCCAAAGCAGGAGCTGAAATCCCCAACACAAACTCAGAACTTCACAGTGTATGACCATCACAGAGATGTCAGGATTTGTGACAACAAACAACTGGATGATCAACCAATAGGCTTAATTAGGGATAAATCTGCGGAATTACAATTAATCTCTGATACTGCACATTTTGAAAAGAAAGTGACATTCGCAGATATCATTCAGTGTGATGACGGAAGCGTTGCCCCACAGGGAGAGGCATCAGAGTTGCCAGAGCAGGAGACAATGTCTGTAAAGGAACTGATGAAATCATTCCAGACTGGGCATGATCCCTCAAAAACTAAAGCAGGGCTTTTTGAACACAAAGGGTTGGATTCTTGCGTGTCATCGTTGATATCTGAATCAGGAGATTCCAGTGAGGTAAAAAGGACTGAACCAAGTCCCCTGCATGAGCCAAAAGTACAATCTGAAACTCAGAGCCTTTCAGTTTTTCACCGACAGAGTGATTTAGCCATGCAGGACAAAACGGACAAGGAGGGTGAAACAGAACACTTTATGAAGGATACATTAGATGAATCAGTTTTGATGTCCAAGGG